GGTTTCCATTTAAGAAATTAAAGGTGACCTTCACGTGATCTTCAAACGACTATCCAAGGTCAAACCAATGACACCATCTTATGTGCCCCTCGAAGTCACAAAACTTTTGTCTGAAACATTTTTCTTTAAAATGTCGCGTTTACGAAAAAATCGGGTGAGACGGGTGGTCTGGGACACCCTGTATAAAGACCGCCGGGCGAACCCGGAACACAGAAGTGACCTCGGGTCACGAAGTAATTCGTCAAACGATAAATGGGCGCCAGGTGCGCACAGGTTGTATTCACGAAACGAAAACACACGTGGTCCACAAAGTCGTTCGCACTTCGGACCCGATACGCTCCTTTCCGCAGCCTGAGTTCGTCCCGAACGAACCGGTAGCTCTTATATGAGTTAAGTCATAGGCGGGGTGGTTCGTAGGGTTACACCGAGATGAATCAACAAAATTACTCTACTAGCCGTTCGGTAATGTAGTGCCCTTTATTGCTTTCAACGGTTTCGACAACAGACTGCGCTCAATCGGTAGCGCTTGGCGATATACAATTTTAAATCTTGTCCGGACCGCGGCGAACTCGCGATGTCCGCCGATAAGGTGGCTGGCCTTTCAAGATGGAGGGGACGGCACGACACGCTACACCCGCGGGGGCGATCCCCCGGTACGATCCCGATGCAGCCACCGATAGGATAGTATTTAATTCGGCGTTATCGCCTTCTTTCCCAAGTCCGTCGGGAGGGCTATATGGCGGTCGACCGAACGGACGACCCACGCGATATTCGATAACGGTAAATGCGGATGGGCGGCCTTACAAAGTCGGGCTCCTGAGGGCTGGCTCTTGGGGATGCTCGTCCTCCTCTTGCGGCACGTTCTCTCTCTCTCTCTCTCTCTCTCTCTCTCTCTCTCTCTCTCTCTCTCTCACTCGCCATGCTAACTTTTTCTGCGGTTCGCAAGAAACCAAGCGCTAAAGATTTCTTTTGGGAGCCGAAAATTTCCTTCTGCCAAGGAGTCTGCTGATTTTAAACAGATTCTCCCCCCCCCCCCC